GAAATTTCTATCTGACCCTATAGACTCCACAAGATGATGGCAGACTAGAAAAACCCAAAAGGAAAATCTAGGAGAAAGGGCCAAGAAAAAGCCTCTAGAAATGTGTTTCCAGAACACATATTAGGTCCATGATATACATACACATAAATGGTAAGAAAGTAAAATAGTAAGTTACCAAGTCTACAATTAAAATCAATCTCTAGGTTTATCATGGCTCAAGAAAGGTCATTAGGAATCAATGTGAAGATAAAGGGAATATCACTAATAAGACAGGAAACTTCTAAGCAAATAATCTGAAATGGATCACATTCCCTCCTTTACTCCTCAACCAGTAGCAACCAGTTAAAGGGGTTTTAAAACACCTAATAAAACTAACCTGCCAAGGATGCTCAGACAACAAGAATCATACTGAAGGTTGGAGGAAAAATCTTTTTTGTAAGGGAATATACACTGGCAAAAATTAAGCAAAAACATTCAGTGTGAGGGACTGTTTAAATGTATTTTGTAGAAACCTCAAACATAAGGGTTTAACTAAACACTTCAAGTTTTTCATTATACTCAACCCTTCAACACTCCTTTAAAACAATACAGACTCTGTTTCGTGTCAGGTCCAGCATTGTTGAAGTTAAAGCCTATCAAGATTACCGCAATGCTTTCAGGCTAAGATTGCAACACCGGTATCTGGAGTTCCAGTTGCAGAACACATGTATAATCAAGGTAGCTAGCCTCTGGTGATTTTAATAAGCATAGCCCAAAGGGGTCTAAAACCAGGCTTAGACAACATCATTAAGGAGGCAGGACCAGCAGCCAAGTGAAATCTCTGGAGACCAGACTATTTAGACAAGGGTCTGAAAAAGGAAATTGGAAAGATGAGAAGGATGCTAAATTTGATCATTTTTAAAAACACTTCCAAAGAGCTCCAAACACCAGAGAAGTCTTTTTGAAATAAAGATGGACAAAGGTATCACATACTCTAGAGTAAGCCTGAATCCTTACATCTAGTTTTAAGTTGTTGAGCTGTAAAAAATGCAACTATCAGGTACACAACTACACAAGTTTTAGGCAACACTATACGCAGAATTCAGCACAGGGAGGAGTCCTAAGTTCACAGTGAAGGGGTGTTTCCTTTAGTTACCAGTAACAAAGATACAAAATAGTTACCTGACTTTTAAAACATGACTGAGTTAAAATTTTTATTATACTCTTTAAGTAACAATTTTAACTGTAGACATAAAATATACTTTTAATATAAATGTTTCTGCCTCTATCTTCTACTTATCACATTTTTATCTCCTTCCTATTACAAAGTCAGTAATACTTAGGAAGAAGGGAGCAGGGAATATGGCTGAGTGAGAGGCGGGGAGAACTACACAAAACCCATCAAGGCTCAAACTACACAGCACCAGCTCCACATCACCTGGAGAATTACTGCCTGCAGTTACAGGTGGGAGTGTCTGGTGCATGTATGTGAAGGCAGCCTCGGGGAAAGAATCACTGCCAGGAAATCTGAGGACCTCAGAGGGGTTAAGGATAATTCTCATTATTAATAACTTGTTTTCAGATCTCTCTCATTTGAGTTAGAAAGCACTCCCTCAATTAGTGGCAACTGTTTACTTCAAAAAATAGCACAGGGCAAAATATAGCTATTAATGTGTCAAGTGAACCACTAAAACAGAAAGCAAAATTTGGTCCAACAGAAAGATTTTGACTTGAATAGAACTCAAAGTTCTTTGAAATCTCTAAGCCACTGTACAAACTTAAGAGAGTACTACTATTGGCCTACTAGAATGGAAACTCCTTGAAGACAAGGAGCTATGTCTTACCCTCTATCCTCCATAATTCCCTAAACAATGTAGATTTTTTAATGAATGGAATGGATTAACTTACATTCATTTATTCACTAATTTGCTCATTCAACATTTGTTGAACACTGCCTGCCTGTTCTATATCAGGCTCTGTGTCGCCTTAGATTTTAAAGATCACTATTCCTGCTTCCTTTCTTTTATTCTTGATTATTAACTTGACTGGAGTAACATTTCCATAGCGTGCTTGACTTTTCAAATGATGAGCATACATACAAATACAGATAACATTAATATAATGTCTAAGATTAACTTTTCTTGAATCTTGCCCCTGGAACAGAATTCCATCACAGTTCTGATACCAGTAATAAATGGTACCATTTGACAATCACCTTAGCAACAGTTTCTGGACTGAAGCCATGACTAAAAGCATCTCAGCAACAGGAATTTTTTAAGTACAACCAAGCAGCAACTAGCTCTATGTTTTGACAACTCAACTTTTGTTTATAGTTGCACCAAATCTTATAGTCTTTCTTGCCTCCTTAAAGAGTAAACCACACATGCTAAAACTGTGATAGCAACGTAACAAATAATATTTGCATAGCATACTAGAACTTATAAAGAGCTTCACAAACTGTACATATCTGTTTTAGACCTCGAAACTCACTTAACAGATGGTAGAACTAAGACTCAAAGTAGTGGATGCCCTGCCTGCCCAAAGTGGCCAAGCTGGGATTTGACTGTGAACCTAGGTCTCCTGCAGGCTGTGGTCTAGTGCTTTCTTCACCTCAGCTGCCTCCTTCCTATGCCAAGGCTCAAAAAGTTGTCTAGGCCAAGAACATGAACCCGGTAAGCCCATGAAAGGTTAGGATATGAAACTGTAGACAGTGATTATCAAAGTTGTCAACACAGCCTCGGAAATTAAAAACAAACAAACAAAAAAAACCCCTCTCTGTTTAATGAGACTACATTGGCCAGATGTTGAGAAACAAAACAGGCAATACATTGTGTGAAAAACAATTTAGTATAGACTTAAATTTGATTAACAGAAATTTGATATTCATGAATTCTCAAACGTCCTAATTTATAACTAACCCACTCATTCTGTTTGCTTTAGAAATAACTGGAAATTTTCCAACTCTCTTTAAAAACAGAATGGGAGAAAAGATATCTGATCTTGTTCTTCAGTCCAAAACTCCTGTAACACAAACTAAGAGACATGAATTGAAATGCTCATTTGATCTATGATGCTCCAACCAGGAAAGCCTGGTAGAAATGTAATTAGCTTCTTTTATTAACATTTAACTTTAAGAATGCCAAACAGAAGAAAGCAAATTTGAACTCAAGCACTGTTTTTTTTTTTTAATTTTACAGATGAAACTCTGAATAACTTGCATAGTGTATTTACGATTAACATCCGTGGAGCAAAGAAAATTCAAATTCTGAAAGTCATCAGTAAAATGACAGATTTTCATTAAACAGTGAATTCACTTCTTATGTTAATTTACACTGATTGCATGGCTACTGTGGTGCAGTTAGTAAACTGGGGATTTTTTTTTTAATACAAAAAGAAGGTGAAACGCAGCAGAAAGCACGCAAACAGTATGGGGCTCTCAATCTTCTTGCTATAAATGGAGGTACATCATCTTATGTTACCATAAATAGCAGCCATTCAAATGCCAAAGTTGTCCTAAGTATACCAACTCTGTTTAGTACACTCTTTTCCTATGTTACTATTAAAGTACAGTTTTTCAAATCTTTCCAATGGCTAAGGGGAAAAAAAAACCCTTCCCTGTATTCATGAATTTACAGTATATGAAACTTGAAGACACTTTCCTCCCACCCATTAAATTTGTAGCAAAACGCTTTTGCCTTTACAGTTTTACTTAAAATGGTCAGATCTGATTAACTCAGCATGTATTTTTGGTCTGTTTTACTCACTGCTGTATCCTGGTTGGCTAGATGGGTGCTTGGCACATAGTATTTATGTTTGCTGAATGAAAGTAGTTTTCCTATGATCTATGGCTCATTACATAAGACTATATCCAAGAAGTTTTTACTGTAACTTCTTAATGCTTCTAAACTTGAAGAACCCCCCCCCACAATGTTTACATCAGTTAGCTGCCTGTGGAAAGCAATCATTCCATATGTGTAAACAACAACCATGTGCAAGGTGTACAGTTATGTTAAGACAGCTTGGCTGTCATCAGCTACCTCACATATTTCTGGAAGTTCCAGGGCTAGAGAGGCTGAATTGTAAAGCACCACGGAGGGCCCAATTAAGCTAGATTCTCATGCTGAGAATTCTCCTTTGTAAACTAATTACTTCTCCACTAAAATTCTTTCTTTACCAAGGCAAGTACCATTTAGAATGAACACTCTTGAGAAAACCAGAAAATAACAGTCATACACAAAATCGGCTTGGGGAAGCTAAGACAGTCAGAGTTGCCCGGTGAACCTGTTGTCCTTCTCTCCAGGACTGGATTCAATTTCTATTTAAAGGGACACTGCTTTCCTTTGGGGGAGAAAGAGGGCGGGCACCCAAACCTAGGTTTAGAGAAAATCCCTTTTAAGAGAAAATTATCTGCTTGTATTTGTCAAAATAATGTTTGTTGAGAAGCTAATAGCAGTCCCAGTCTGGAGCAGGGCCACTAGGCATGATTTGGGGGTATCAGCTTCGGCTCTCGATGCCAAGTCCGAGATCCCATAAGGGAAGTGGAAGGAGAAAGAGAGGGCTGCGTTGGCCCCAACTCGGCCTGCCGGGAGCCCCCCGGGGACCGAGGGGGTCACTATCAGCTCCCAACTTTGGCACGGTCCTCGCGCCTAGGGCTCCGGTCGGCAAACTCCCAGGCCAGAGTGAGGCCCGGAGCCAGCGGAGGTCCATCGGGAGCAGTGAGCGCAGCCCGGTAGCACGGACTTGGGGCCCGGGGGCGCCGGGCGGGGAGGGGGCTCACTGCTCCCCCCCAGACGACCGACGCTGCCAACGGCGGCGCCGCGGCCCTGGAGCCCGCGCCCGCCGCGCCCGCCACGCCCCGCGCCCCGGGGCGGACCCCCAGCGGGCCGGCCGGCGGCTCCCGGGCAGCGCTCCTCCGGAGAGCCCCCGGCGCGGGCGTGCGGCCTAGTCGGGGTTACATAACGGAGCCGGGCCCCTCCGGAGCCGGCCGGGCCCACGCCTGGCGGAGGGGCGCCGCCGCTCACCTGCCATAGATGCCCTCAGTGATCCGGTTCCGCTTTAGGGGGCGGCGGAGCTTACTGCAGTCTGCGTTCCGCCGCTTCATCCTCCCGCTGGGGGGCCGGTGCCCGCACCGCCGCCTCTCACCTCAGCCGCCGCCGCCGCCGGCCCGCCCCGCGTCGGGCCTGGACTCTACCCCTGGGGCCGGTCACACAGACATGGAGCCAGCACCCGGGGGGGAGGGGGTGGCACGGTGAGGGGGGGCTCAAAGCCTCCTCCGCCTTCGGAAACAAAGAAATGACAATTCCGGGGCCCGCCCGCCCAGCACCAGCCAGCCGCCTGTCCCGCCTCTTTGGCCCCGACGGACGACCCGTGGGGCCAATCAAAGGCGCCGCTTTGCCACTGATGGCCAATCCTAGGGCCCGCTGAGGCAAAACGGACTCTTGAACCCGCCTCATTGAAGGACAGAGGCATGCGCCAATCATAATGGTGTCTGGACGCGTGGCTGGGCCTATCAGAAAAGATTTAAATAGAGGCTTATAAATAGGCCCTATAAATATAACATCTTATATTATGCCTTGTTGCGAAGGTGCGCCTCATGATTATTGGATTACGACTCATTGTGTGATAATCCATACCGAATGTACACCGTGGTGTATGGCACTGTAGGCTCCCGTGTAGCATGCGTGAATCGGAAGGCCCAGGTTTGTGGCATGTGGGGTTTCAGCCCTGACATGTGCTTCAGTCAGCAGCGTCATTATGTAAGGGAGTGTCCCAGGAGCAGCGCTGAGGCCCCGTCTGCGGGCGCCGGAGCGTTCGGCCAGGCCGGCCGCGTGAGCGTGAGACAGGGGCACGAATGACAAAGCAAACCCCACACGCATACACACACACACACACACACACACACACACCCTGACACACACACACCCTGACACACGCACACACTGTCAGCTTCCCCGCGACGTGGTGACAGCGCGACAACCAATCGGAGGCGGTGGAGGGTGGAGCCTCTGTGGTCCCGCCCCAGGGTTGCGTCACGGGGGTGGGGCCGCGACATCGCGCGAGGCTGCTGGGGGTGTGTGCGGCGGCGTTCCCCGGCTCCACGTCCGCAGGTTGGGCGGGCGGTGAGTTCTGCAGACGTAGAGTCTGCAGGACTGCGAGGGCGCGGCCGCTGCTCATCCGCCGCGGGGCGTATCTGCCCCCAGGGCCGGCGGCAGCACGGCGGCTGCTCTGTGGTACCCGGCTCTGGCTGGGTTGCCCCAGGCGTCCCCGGCTACCTTTCTCACTGGACGCTTGCTCAGTGAGCACTAATTTTGACCTAGGCACCATGCTGGGTAGTTTACCAGAGTTTGCTCATTCCCTGCTCTTAACTCCCTCCCGTTGGAGGCAAAATAACGATTAGGAAAGACAACAGAGATTTTTTTTGGAAAAAAGAATAAAGAAGAATGTATGTCATTAGAGAAAATTAGGAAAATGTAGGAAAGTAACCGGAGGGGACAAAAGCACCCGTGGGTCTCATGATCTTAACACAACCATTGTTATTAGCATTTTACTGTATTGTCACCCCCCACACACAAGTTTTCTCATGGCTGATAGTATTATTAACCACAGTTATTAAATAGAAATTTCATAATCTTTATTTAGTGTAAGTACTTACGTGCTATGCACCCTTCATAAATATTTCTGATAGTTGCAGAATGTCCTAGCAAGTGACTTCATCTCAACAGCATTGGAGAAGTTAGTCTTAGCATTAAAAAAAAAAAAGACTTTCAGGAAGTAGGTGTCATTTTGTTTTGTCCTGGGCCACAGTACGCCTCTCCCTGTACTTGGGATCACCCTCTTAATCAACACCCACCCCAAGGTAGAATCCCAGTCCTCAATCACTGTCCCCTGTTACTTTGTCCTACTCAACAAACTTTCAAAGATCTCCCAGTGCCTGGAAAAGGAAAATCTGTTCTTTATGGCATCCAGACCTGGTCACAATAGAAAGTTACCCTCATCTCCCAAACCTCCCAGGCAAGCAAGCCTCTGCTTTTAAACCCAATGCAACTTAATCTTCCTCCTTCTTCCTTTGCTCCCACCCAGAGCATCTTTGTCAGTGCTGCTTCTTGGGTGAAGCTATCCATCAGGCACAAAGCTTCTTGGGGATGGGATTAATGCACTGTTCAGAAAAAATGCAGTTCAGAAAAATGGCAAAGGTTCCTTCTGCTTTTTCAGGCCAGGGTTGAAATTCCAGCTTGGCCACTTACTAGCTTGGACAAGTTACTAAATCTCTCAGAGCCTCTGAGTGCACCCAGGTTTGTGTTAAGGCTTGGAGGATAATGAGTGTTCCGAGCCAGGCATGCAGTATGTAAAGCAAGTAACTTTTTTTTTTTCTTTTCTTTTTGAGATAGAGTCTCACTATGTAGCCTGGAACTTGCTGTGCAGCACTTGAACCACACCCCTAACCCTTTTTGTGAAATTAGTGTATATTAATTGTACAAAGGGGTTTCACCATGCTGTTTCACACATGCATATATTGTACTCTGATTGGATTAACCCCCTCTATTGCTCTCTCTTTTCCCATCTCAACTCTGATTTTTCAACATCTTTCAATGGGTTTCCTTATACCATCTTCATACATTCACCTGACTACTCTTAACAGTACACTTGACTTGGTTTTCATCCCTCACCTCTATTCCAACATGTTGATAAAGTGACACAGAGTGGACAGGATAAGAAACTCTTTGAGCCCATCATTAAGAAAGAACATGAGTAGAACACTGCACTTGGAGCAGCAGAAAAAGGCTTCAGCTGTCAAGACAGGTTGGTTCATGGAGGAAGGTGTAGGCAGGACCTAAATCAATATGGTTGGAGACTTGAATGCATTACCAGGGAGATACATGGTTAAATCCTGTCTCCAGACTCCATGGGAACACCAGACCTAAATATCCCTCCTTCCCGTGACTGCAAGCACCCAGATTTCCTGGGCCAGAGACCGAAACAGTCAGCAACTCCATGAGGCAAGAGGCTGAATCTGTGATCTTTTCCACTCCCTGCCGTGGCCCTGTTAGGGCAGTGCCATGACACACTGTAGAATGACCAGGTGAGTGACCCAGAGGGACAATGACTTGGGCACTTAGAGCATGTGCCTGATCTCTGAAGCTTACAGTCTAACCTGCTATGAATAGGTTCCAGACAAGGGCTTCCTGTACTGTGGCAGAAGTATATGATTCCTGGAAGAGATGGGAAGGTATCACCAGGAGTTACTGTCAAGATCTAGGGTCATGTGGAAACAGAGACAGGTCAGAGAGAACCTCAGGGTGATGGAGGAGAATAAGCAACCCAAGGGTCTGGAGGCCTGAATTCCAGTGTCAATTCAGGTGACAACTCACTGGTGTCATTTGTTGAATCCACCCTATGGTACTGCTTACCCTGTGCCAAGATCCCTCTGGAGCTGCTTCTAGCCCTATGTTTATAAGCAAGTCATGGAGCTTCATTTTACAGAAGAGAAAACGGAAGCCCATAGAAAACAAGGTCATACAGCTGATGTGGTAGAGCAATTTAGCTCAAGCAAGAGCTGATCAAGAAGGGCTGGTAGAGTGGCTCAAGAGGTAGAGTGCCTGTCTAACAAGGGTGAGGCCCTGAATTCAAATCCCAGTACTACAAAAAAAAACAAAAGGAGCTGAGCAAGATCCAGCCTTGAGACTATAGGCATGTGCTGTGGAACCCTGGGTGACTGTTGATGGTTAAGAGTTGGTGGAATCTAACTGGGGTGAAAAGATGTGATGGTCTTCTTGCCAAGAACCCAAGGACAGGCCAGAGTAGGACTGCCTGCTTCATGTTCTTTTCTTCTCCTCCAGATCACCTCTTTTTTCTTGACCCATCATTATGGAAGCCCTTTGGGACTAGCCAGGTGCCAGCCTTTCCCCTCTGAGCCCTGAGATGGCCTCTTGGACTGACCTGAGGCCAGCCTCCTGCTCCCCACACTTCACCACCAAGCAGCAAGCAAGCAGAGGAGATGGGCAGTGGTCATTGCACTGATGAGAAAATAGAAGGGAGCCAGGGGCTGGTGACTCAAACCGATAATCCTAGCTACTCAGGAGGCAGAGATTAGGAGGATCTAGGTTGGAAGCCAGCCCCAGGCAAATAGTTCTTGAGGTCCTGTCTTGAAAAAAACCATCACAAAAAAGGGCTGGTGGAGTGGCTCAAATGTTAAGAGTGCCTACTTAGTAAGTGTGAGGACCTGAATTCAAGCCCAAGTGCTGCCCCTCCCCCACCCTCCCCCAAAAAAAGAAAATAGAAGGGAAATAATTTGCTCTCATTCAAAAGACCCATGTAGGAATTTAGGCCTGTCCCTCCTAGGACTTACTGATGAGTGAGTAATTGGGATTTGTACAGCTTAGCTCCATAAACCTGGAGAGAGCTCATGTTTCACAAATAAGGAAGCAGCCTTCCCACCTCCTTTATCAACTTGAACCCCAGCTCCCTTGGGCTTTGTTCCTCCACAAGTCACAGCAAAGCCCAGACCTGAGATGGCTAACCCTTGTATGCGTACCTATATTCCTCAGAGAATCCTGTCAATGGAGGACATTCGCTGTAGTGTTTAGAATGGGGATAGTTTGGAAACAGCGCTGAAGTCCCACAAAGAGGGCTGGTCAAACAGATCTTCATGTGCCATTATTATCATTATTATAATTATTATTATTTTATTGTTTTATTATTCATATGTGCATACAATGCTTGGGTCATTTCTCCCCCCTGCCCCCACCCCCTCCCTTACCACTCACTTGCCCCCTCCCTCTCCCCCCCACCCCCTCAATACCCGGCAGAAACTATTTTGCCCTTATCTCTAATTTTGTTGAAGAGAGAGTATAAGCAATATATTATTGTTATTATTATTATTTTGTTGGTCCTGGGGTTTGAACTCAGAGCCTCCCTTGCTAGGCAGGCACTCTACCTCTTGAGCCATTCTGCCAGTCCTTTTTAATGTTGGGTATTTTTGACGTAGGGTCTTGTGAACTATTTGCCCAAACCACAATCTTCCTGAGTAGTTAGGGTTACAGGCATGAGCATCCAGTACACGGCTCTTACTGCGTCCTTACCATGGAAGTCATGTAACATGAAGGATGATTACCCACAGTACTTACTGTTGCAGTCACTGCTCCAAGTGCCACACACATTTTGTCTTAATCCATGTTACTGACATGGCATTACAGATGAGAAAACTGTGGCACAGAGGAATTAAATCACTTGCCTGAGCTCACACAGTAAGTGAAAGAGTTGAGATTCAAACCCAGGCAATGTGCTATGAGAGCCAGGGCTCTCAGCCACCGTGCTATGTGTTGTAGAAGGATTTTCC